ATTTTTCAACTGATATTGTAACAATATATCAGGAGCCTTGTATTAAATTTTTACACTTTTTGGCCCAACAGATAAAACTAAATTGATATTTATAGAAAAAAAAAACTAAAAAAATTGAAAACTGAAAATGTCCGTAAACGGCTCAAAAAGTATCAAAATATTTTCAAAATTGTAGGGTGTATAGGAAATGCTAATATAAACATTCAGTGAAATTTTCATATATCTACAGTAATTCGTTTTTTAATTACAACAAAAAAAGGAAATTGCCACATGAGAAATCGAGTGAATATCCAATGTTGTAAAAATTTGAATTTAAAACGCCCATAAAAATTTAATTTGACTTTCCGGTAGAAATTTTTTTATTGATAAAGGTAGACAATTGTATGAGTAATCTTGTATTAGATTTTCAAATCTTAGATTTAAAAAGAAAAATTTTTACGAATTCTTAACTCAAAATAATTTGCTAATTTTCGTGATTTTTCCATATTTTGTCAATTTTTGAACTTTAAATGCTTATAAAAAAAAATTGTGACTAAGGATTTTTAATATTTTTCATCTGCCTTTGAAACAACATATTAGGAGCCTTCTATTAAATTTTCAAGCTTTCGCAACCAACAAATAAAATTTTATTGATATTTTTAGAAAAAAAACTAAAAAAAAATGGAAAATGAAAATGTCCCTAAACAGTTCAAAATAAATCAAAATATTTTGAAAATGTTATCGTGTATAGAAAATGCAAATATAAACAACCAGTGAAAATTTCATGTATATACGTTCATTTGTTTTAGAGTTACACCAATAACCAAAATCGATTTTTTGGAAAATCAATTTTGCGTAAAAATTCCCGTTTTTCCTTAATTTTTATGTTGTTTTTCCCGGCGCTTGTGAAAATTACTGTGAAATTTAAATTTTGACCTCCCCAATGCACTAACGATATTCACTTTCCAATTGAACAAGATACTGAAGTCGAAAATCGAAGCATTATTTCGACTACTTATCGTGTACACAGATACAAAAACAATAAAAAATAAAAAAATAAAAAAAAAAACACACATCATTGTAAAATCAATACATTCATCGTTTCACTCAGAATCTAAAAAAACACACATCATTGTAAAATCATTACATTCATCGTTTCACTCAGAATCTAAAAGTACCTATTAAAAATATAATTGCAGTCACTGCAGTTTATTCAATAACTATTAGTTATGTCATATTAATTATTATAAAACATGTAAATGAGTTTATTAAAATATTAAAACATTTTTGTAAATGTATAATGTTATGTAATATAGAATGATTATATTTAGATGTGTTGAGTTATTCAATTATACAAAATATAGATAAGGGGGTGTGGGACGTGGGAGCAAAGGCCCCCACAAGTTTACCCTACAAATTTATTTTGATCCCCCCCCCCATCAAACATTCTCAGTTACGCCACTGACTCGAGTCGATCACTGTCGGTATTTCAGTCACGCTCGAACGATTACCGCTCGCATTCGAGTCATCTGTAGGTACACGCACGAACAAACTAAATTCATTCGAATGCTCACGCTTGCGCCGACGCACAAAATATGCTCTAGCCGCTAACTTTATTTTATTTTTAAATAAAATGGAAAAATCATTTCATCTATTATTTTTGGCGACCCCCAAACCTATCATTCGCGACCCCCTCGGGGGTCGCGACCCCCAGGTTGAAAACCACTGCTCTAGCGAAGGGTGACGTCCTGTTTTACACAGGATTGTCCTTTATTTCGGCTTTGTGTCCTGTTGTCCTGACAAACTTCTCTCAGGATGCTTTTTGTCCCGTAATTTCAAGTCTGTCCCATATTAATCCCGTTTTTTGCCTTATTGTTAATGTATATAATTTTTGAAATTTTTAAAATTACATTATTGAATAGAACAATTTAAGAATCTTTACTTTTCAATTGTATTTTTGGATTTTTGTTTTTACCATTATTATTGTAGCATCACATTGTTGTCGGCGACGTAAACCGGACGTATAATAATATAATATTATAATATTTACCGACCGGCGAGACCAGTTCGTAATCAAATGTGAGCACTGAGCATATTGCGAAATAAATAAATATTAATAATAGCCTAATAATATATCTATGTCGTTCACAAGCGTTGTCTTATTGGACAACAAAAAATAAAATAAATACTTATTAATTTAAAATATTTTATATTAAATTATTAAAATATAACAATATTATAATATTTTTGTCCTGTATTTTATTTTTTTAAATATGGTCACCCTACTCTAGCGTGTACGCCGCCTTATTGAGACATCGATTTAAATCGATGCTGCCGCAAACTCGCGAGATCACGACTTTTCAACGCTTTCGGGAGATTTGTCCAGAGTTCTTTGACAACCTAGAGCATCAATTCTGTCGCGGACTGGATCTTGACTTTGGACAAACTCTCCAATGCTGAGATATTCAACATATTTATCTGATATAGGTACGGTCAATATTATATCAGAGTGAACGGACTGTGTAACAACAAATTAAATTTTTTTTTAACCTAGTTAAATCAACGTTTTAAAAATGATGGTATCCCGTCATAGCTTCTCAAAATCTCCAATCTCACCTCAATCTCATGGAGAAGTGGTACACCGACTGGAGATTTAAAATAAGTCAAACCAAATCGGTTCATGCAACGTTCACCCTTAAACTCACCCCTTGCTCTGATGTCTTTATTTATAATACTCTGATTCCCAGTGATTCGAATGTTAAATATCTTGGCTTGCCCATTGATAAAAGACTGACCTGGGCCCAGCATATTAAGTCCAAAAAAATTAATCTAAACTTACGCCTACGACTACTAAAAAACCTCATCCACAATAATAAATATACTCACATCAATAGCAAATTACTAATCTATAAATCACTACTAAAACCTGTTTGGACATATGGCCTACAGCTTTGGGGAAACGCAAAAAAAACTAACATAAACAAAATCCAAACATTTCAAAACATCGCACTTCGCAAATTAGTTAATGCCCCTCCCTATGTCTCTAACCACACTATACATAAAGACCTTAAAATGCCGTCAGTCTCTGAAGAAGCTAAAGCATATTATAAACGTTTCCATTTCCGCACTTTAGCTCATCCCAATCCTCTTGTCAGAAATCTTACCAATCCTACTATCCCTGGTAACCCGCCTAGACGGTTGAAACGAAAATGGTGTCGTGATCTATTGCTACCTAATATTAATATAAATATTAATTGAAAAAAAAAAAAACTGAAAATATAAAAAAAATGTAAGGCAAATTGAAGTGTTACTAATGGGTGGCTGCTTTCAGCTTTCCTCAAAAATTTCACGTATTACCTATGTACAAATATTATTAAGGGTATATGATGTATTTTTTTTTAAATTATTTGTATATGTTAAATCTCATTCACATCTACTTATTGTGCCATGTGGTATAGATTGTAGATTACATTTAAAAATAAAAAAAAAAAAAAATGATGGTGCAAAAATAATTCTGACACCCACCCATGGTGGTTTTACATAACTATTCGAGGGATGTTTTTGATTTTAATTGTCCGAGCAAGCGCAGTGTGCGAGTGACTACGCCGGGTACATATGAAAATACCAACAATTTCAATTACTTTTAACTTTAAAATAAATCTGACCGCCAAATTCAGACTTCCCCGTCATTTACAATTAAAAACTTATGATTTCTGGCAATTATTCATTTTTGCAATATCATTCTTATTTAAGTTACCCGGTTACCAAAAAAAAGTAGAGTTGATTTACATAAGTAGGTAAGGATAAAAAAAACTTCAAAATTACGAGGGGGAACTAAACTGCATTTATACATTTTTTGTTTATTATTACAGGTATTACTTTGTTAGTACATACTTGAAAGTTGGAGGTGTTACACTGTTACGTGGTAGTAACTTAAAAACGTTTTCCATCTGCAGTGACAGATTAATACCAAACGGGATAATGTGCTGATTTTTATGAAGGCAGTATCTATTGTCAAAAGTTCATAAATTTAGTTTAGTCAAAATTCCATTTTTTTTTTTTAAAACTTCTCAATTATAGATAAGTTGAGTGTTACTCAAATAATTTTAAGTGACCTACCCCTCATAATACTGTTATACCGACCTATAAAATTTCCTATTTGTCTTCTATCAATACCCACGACCCACCCACCCATATCTAAGTAGGTACCATGGTTTATTGTCATAAATGTGGTGAGGTATCTATATCATTTCAAAATATTTAAAATTAGTTTATATTTTCGAATAACACTAGTATAATATTATTGTACATTTGTACATTTATCTATTCTGTGTTTGTACCATTGATACCTAATCATCATTTTTTGGCCTTTGCACATGACGAAAAAAGTTTGTTTTGTCACGGCGCGATGGTAACGTCTAACTCGTAACGATCATAATATCGCACATCGCGTGCGGTGATCACGACTCCGCCATTCCGAGATCCGTGCGTCGCGCAGTCGTTCACCTAGACAGCTAAATAATAAATAATAAGTAATAGATTTCGCTTATGGATCTACCATACTTATAATATTTTAATATATTATTTTTCAACCGTTCAATACGGTTCAATATAACCATTGTTCTGTGATATAACATTATTATTATTTTGGAGACGTGCGTGTCTGTCAGTCCGTCAGTCGTCACTGTGTGTGGATGCAATCTGAACGTTAACGGTTAACCACACTGTACTACAAGCGTATTACAATATTAGTAATCACTGGTCGTCGTTATCAGTTCAAACTTCGGTCTTCGATTGCTCTTATCCGAGAAATAAATAAAAAATTATATACACTATAGTACTATACACATTTCAAATTAAATTTATCATTCCCCGTAGGCAATTTGGTTGTTTGTAAGCAATACATTTAAACTAGTTTCATTCCGGATTGACTTTGAAACTCGACGTCGACAAGATTCGCCACTTAGAGGAGGTTTATTATTTCATAACTTCAATCAGCTAATAACAAAAACACCACTGCGATGTCGGACGTTCACGCCACTCCGATGGCCTGGCAGTACGTTTGTTGTTCACTGCCAATCTTAATACCGATGTCAGTTTACGTGCTTAAGAAGTGTTTCAACAACAGATATCGCACACTTAACTCAAAGGTAAACTCTAAAGTGTTTTCTATCTGTCTTACGCACCGTAAAATGCAAAACTTGAGACTGTGACCTTTATACGACCTGAGTTTTTCGCTTTGTGCGTGGACTTTGAACGCGAGTACCTATGGGTTTTTTTCAATTTTCGGGATATTTGTTCTGTAGGATTTTTAAACAATAATTTATAGCTTATGATTACTTCAGAAGAATATCTGCCACATATTACAACAATGTAATACATTTTTTTACTTTCATTATACTTACTAAAGTCACACTTGACGTCTTGCGCTCGTATTGCTTATGAGAATGAGTTGTATAAAATAAAACTGAGACAGACTCTTAGTAAAAATTGGTCTTATTTGAATATTTTTTTTATCTTTTAAAATATGAAAAAAAAAATTCAACAACAGTATACAGGTATTACTATTTTGAATCAGATCTAAAATATTTTAACTACCTATTGATTGATTTAAGAAGGAACTAAGATTTGGTGTTTTCAATATTGGTTTCCTACGAATCATATAACTATAGGTTGATAATATTTAGAGTAGGGATATTTCACGGTTCTGATTACTAGTAACTGATGGAATTTGTCAATAACTCAATCGGATATTCCCCCTTAACACTAATCATTTTCAGAAATATATTTAATAATCATAAATTGTGTTGCTAGGTTGTACTTATTACAGGTGCCAGTTCTGGATTAGGTGAGACATTAGCGCATGAGTTTTATTCCCATGGCTGTGCACTAATTTTAACAGGACGTAGCAACAACGAATTAGAACGAGTCAAAAATGATTTATTAAGCCGAAGTGATGTAATTGAAAAGTTTTATTATTTCAACATTTCCTATTTTCTAGTTTAATTATTTTTATAGATTAAGAATGTAAACAAACCATGTATTCTCGTCTTGGATCTTATTGACCAATCAACAATAGAAGTAGTTAGTCAAAAAGTTTTAGGAGTTTTTGGCCGCGTAGATATTCTCATCAACAATGCAGGCATCAGCTATAGAGGTAGAGCCGAGGCAACAATGGCTGAAGTAGATTATAAAGTGATGTTGGTAAACTATTTTGGCCAAGTCGCTTTAACTAAAGGTAAATACAGAAGTATAAATTGATTTTTCTCTACTTGTATTTAATTCAATAACTGTTGTTAATATTTTGTTTTAGCCATATTGCCTAGCATGATTCACCACAAAAGTGGACATATAATAGCAATTAGTAGTGTTCAAGGAAAAATTGCTGTTCCATTTAGGTAATTGAATATTTTTTAAAATTATAATACATACTTAGAGCCGCTTTCACCACTTCTTTATACTTTGATTAAAGCTGAACCCGGGTTTAATCTGCCGAATTGGGCCGGTTAAATATCTGTTATCAGTTAATTAAGCGTAATCGAAGTTTAAAGTATTTGGTGAAAGCGGCCCTTAGTACTGATTCCCAGCCTTTTAAATTCAGCAATTCATAAATTATAAAAATATAATATAGTATGATAACTTTATTGTACTAGTATTGATTTTTACAATATTATATATTTTGTAGTATTTCAGATTAGTTAACTTACATTAAGATACTTTGTTTTGATATGTTCAGTAGGGTAGGCATCATTGATGTATTCAGTTTAAAATAATAATTGATACATTTACCTTATAAATAATAGTTTTATTGAGAAAGTTATCTGTGTTTAACATTTCTGAAAAAAGTACTAAATTTACTTGCCAACCGTTCATTACAAATCTTCTTAAACTTATTTTTGCTATTCTCATATTATGTCTAAGAAATACAGATAACAAACCTTGGGTATGCTGTAAATAGTTCATCTTTTTTTTGGTTTGCATATGTTTAGTTAATTTTATGTATTTATATTATTTTTAGATCAGCTTATACAGCATCTAAACATGCATTACAAGCATTTTTTGATACTCTCAGAGCGGAAATATCACATCATAAGGTAAAAGTAACAGTTGTAAGCCCGGGGTACATCCAAACAAATTTGTCGTTGAATGCATTAACTGGATCTGGATCAAAATATGGTGGTGGGTATTGTTACTAGATAGTAGATTAAACATGTTTCTAATATACTAACATTATTTTATACATATATATATATGTTGCAGTCATGGATGAATCTACTATGTCTGGATACTCGGCTGAATATGTTGCTCAACGAATAGTGGATGCTGTTGTTAATGATGAACAAGAAGTCATCATTGCTCCGTTTTATGCTCGCTTAGCAATCGGTCTACGTTATGTATGGCCACGATTTTATTTTTGGATTATGAAATGTAGGGCTGACCGGCAAGCTAGTCAGAAAATGTAGGATTCAAGGATTCCCCGCCATCAGACGGACGAGCGTCGGCTACAGCCCGTTATCGTCGGCATACGGGAATCTCACATTTGACAAACAGCCAGGTCAGTCAACTAGATTTCTAGAAATTAGCTGTTAATTGTTATTTTTGAGTACTTATAATTTTGTATTTTTGAATATAAATACCTAGTTGTTAGTGATGCACAGTTTTACATAAATTATTTATTTAATTTGTGTTTTTTACATTAATTGTACAATGTTTACTTATTAACAACATAATACCATAATGTTATTATTTAGTTAAGTATAATTGTACAAAACTGCCCTAAAAGAAACAAATTAATACCATAATTTGTAAATTATTTAGTTTAATCAATATTAATGTAACAAGTGTTTCATAAATACTTACATAAATCTGTTTCTATTTCTAGTTATATTAGATAGTTGGTATTGTTTAAAAGTGAAGCTTGAAGTTATAATTAATAACACTATAATAATTTAATGTATTTCCTATGCTATTTGCATGTGATTATGTATGTGTTTCATAATAATGTGTCATTTAAAGAAAAACTAAATATTATGGATTAATGTCAATTTTCATTAATTTAAAATTATAAGTTAACATTTCAAGAAAAAAACGTACAAAATGAATTTCTATTAAATAAAAATTCACAATTCAATTTATTTATATCGCACAAATAAATGTAAAATTGTAATTAATTGAAGTTAAATTTAGTTAAATTCCCTATTATATTTCTTTATCGACTTATAAATCAAATTATTTTTAATATTTAAATAAATGTGTACCCATTTTTCTATCAAAATCATTGTTTATATAATTATAACTCATAAAATCGCATATGATTTATCTGTCAACAATTTCTGTATTAAAATATTAATATGAGACTTCTCATTAATATAAATTATTATTTAAAATATTTTGTTTTTACATTTTAATATCTTGCTTTGGGAGTTGTGAAATACTTTTATTCAAAATTGTATACTATTAATATATTCATTGTACTATTGCTAATGATTGAAGATATTTAAAATAATTTTTTAAGTAACACATTTTTAGATAATATGTATTATTAACAAACTAATTGTTTAAGCTTGAAAAATTAATTATGAAAGTGAGCTTTTAATTTTAAACTAAGATAGGGTTAAAACACCATTGGTCTTTTAAATATTTACTGTGCATCACTAACAAATATAGAAAATTGATAACTCTCAGTCAGTGGTGACGCGAGGTTGCTTTTCATGAAATATCGGCTGTGTTGACAAAAAAAGGGGCGATAAATGGGTACAGGGGGGGCACATTTTAGTTAGCTTTATTTAATTAAGAGGATATCTCATTTGCGTGTGTTGCATTTAATAAGTGCGTAACAAAGTAAATTGTTGTTCAGTATTTCATTTAACTTTGTTGGTTTCAATGTTACAGTGAATTTACCTATTGTTAGACTTAAGGTTACAATATTTTCTGTAGTTTAATGGTAGTGTATTTTCGATATTTTAATTTTAAAGCTCATAATGAAAATTTTTAAATTGTAATAATTTACACGTTTATAACTTGCTGCAAAATAAAAAAATATATAAAAACAATTCCAAAAAACCACAGAAAATGTTGCTACTTTTAGGCTCTAAGTTATATAACAGGTAAACTCACTCTTAATACTAAAACTAACGAAGCTAAACGATAGGGTTGTTGCGCACTTGTAAACAGAGAACACACATGTTGGTGAACTATCCGGTAAAATTAGTAAAATATGTACATACATTTATATTGCAGACTAAAATTTAGAATTTGGTACCCTCAATCGAAAAATTTAAAATTTAATATGCTTCATAGATAAATAAAGTTCACGTCGCCACTGTTCATGATCACTGCTACCATTAGTGTAGTATAAATTTTTTTACTATTATATTATTATTATTGTATATCCCTTAAACACTATTACATCTTAGGTTAACATAAATTTAAATTTTAAATATTGTTTTAGGTTTAGAGTTTATTAATTACCACCATTTTTTTTCACACAAATTATATTGCAAATAATAAGTTTAATTATATTATAATTTAAGTGATCTCCTTTTTTTTCATAAAATTAATTTTTTTTATTGTTGATACATTTTTGTTGCTTAAAATGGTGCTTGTTTGTTACACATTTTGTGTTCTTTTTTATTACATTTATGACAATATTTATATAAACTTTTACCACGTTTTTGTTTTTTATATAATCAATCACTAATAATTTACATATAAATTTGAATGACAACAGCGTATCGACAATTACATTTTAGAATCTCATATAGCTCATACATATATTTATAAGTAGTTCTTCTGATTTCTGTCAATTATTTATGTATACTTAATAGTGAGTTGTTGATATAGTTAAACCTTAAGTACTGTTAAATGTTTTTAGTTATTTTTAGTTTAATGTTTCATTAGTCAGTTAATATTAGATTGTAAATTTAAATGATTAAGAAACTATACCATTGTAGACGATAACTCAATGTGTGCATATATTTACGAGGATAAATTTAGATGTTTATTGTTGTTTTTTTTTTTTTGAATAAGTATTTGTAGCCTTAAAAAATGTAGATATGTTATAATGGTAAACAAATAATTGAAACCTACAATGATAACTAGTGTACATCCCTATATGTAATTGTTACGCTTAACATATCTTACAAAATAGACCCTATGAATTTAATTCTTGTCTAGTTTTAATGTTTTTAAAAATACTAATTGACGAACAACTCTCAGATAGAATAAAATAAATTATATATGTGTATAAATGTAGGTTATTTTATTTTGTTTTATTATTGTCCATGTTGCTTATTTTGAAAATATCAAGCACATATATATACATGTAACTTTAAATCGTCCATTGTTCTTAACATCAAACATTCATTGTTATAGAAAAAGTTTATGTTAGGTGACAAAAGCTACACAAACACTAAATTTAATTTAATATAGAATGCAATTTATTATGATATACAATTTTTTAATATTGTTTTTCTAAACATTATAATCTTACAACAATAAATCACATACAATATTTTATGTAGATTGTAAAATGTTAAGAAATTTATTTTGTGATATTTTATCAGTCTATTCATAAATGGTTTCATGTCTGTCAAAAAAAAAACTCCAGACAAAGGAATTCGTAATTTTGATCAATTATAGAGCTATACAATATGTAGCAATATAATATTGTGAATATACTTCCACAATGGAGTGATATTTAAGTATATAGTATGTTATATTCATAGAATACAACCTAACTAAAATAGATTTTTAAAACATTAAGTTCCGTTTATACTTTGGCATGCTACGTTCACCCTAAACCATAGAACGATTATAGGTAGTTTTTAGATATTAGTTGAACCTTTAGAACAACCTTGTATTAGATGGAAATTGAAATTTATTTGTTGCCTTTAAAATGAAACCTAGTTTTCATTAACAAAATACAAGTATTGAAAATATTATTTCGCAATTGAATGAAATCATTTTTTCCTTTCTAAGTTTCTAACTATTAAACATTTTAATAATTCATTTTTTCTTTAAAAAAAAGAACAAGTAAGAGATTTTGAACAAAAAAATATAATATTACTATCACATTAATTAACAATAAAAATAAATAAATTATCAATTTATCATGAATATAAAACATTACTGTTTTGTTTTTATTTTAATGGCAAATTTTAGCATGATCTAATATTGTTAGTAACTGTTGAAGTATAGACAATATTTAACATGACCAAATCTGTGTGCTAAATAATTTTACATCTATTTAGATGCCTGAGATATATCCGTTCACTCGTCCATAAACATCAAGTGTATAAAGAAGTTATTTCCACAATTATAAAGATTTTAGTTATTAAACTTATTATATATAATAATAAATTTTAATTATGAAAAAAATTGTTAAAATTATTTATTAACTAATAAACAATTTAATGATATTTTATTTAGCGATTCATATTGATAGTAAGATTTCTAAAAATATAACTTGGCTCAATAATTAAAATATAGGTTAGTTTAAATATCAGGAAAATAGAAAATATACTTTCAATTGTCACTATTATTATTTTATATAAAATGAATAATAAGACTTAATAATTGTCATTACAATATATCTATAATCTAATAATTGTATTTATTCGAATGTTAAACTTTTTGAAAGATGGAAATAGGTATTTAAACTTTTTTTATAAAATTACATTTTTAAGTTCTTTAATATGTTCCCGCAAAGTAAAGCCGATAATATTTTCAGTGATTAATGAATTTGCGTTGAATATTCATTAATTCATTAAAAGATGAAATTTATATAGAAAGTATGTTAAACATGTATATACTCTACACCCGAGAAGAAAATCTCTTAGTCACTGGTGTGACATTTCAGGTTCATACAATCATAAGTTTGTAGGTAAATTAAATAAAATCAAGTGAACATACATAAAATATTATTTTAAAATGTGCTGACTGTTCTTGAACCATCACGTTCCCATAAAAATTTGATCTCAATTTGAAAGATTATTTGCAATATTCGTACAGCTTCCAAATACAATATGCAGTTGACACAACTGTTACTGATGTGTGTACAATTTTCCTTTTGGTATCGCTGCCACGTTCTATAACCACTGGCAATGATGGAGTGTTGTCTTCTTTTTGGAGTGATTTCAATCTTGGGTCCTTGTGCACCTGATACTTGCAGCATGGATCAAACTGCCACGAGATCATATACAGTCCAGTGCACACAAATGAAGCCATACACAAAGGGCCATATACAAATGGCTTGGAAGTCCAAAAATAAGCTAATTGAGAAAAAGAAAACAAAGAAGTAATAATGTATTAAAGTGCTAATTAATAATATGTATGTTATCAAGTACTGTAAAAATGAATTTATAATAATTTGTAATTTAATTGTATTTATTTTTTAACATTGATGATTAATAATGGTTATTGATTACACATTCAACCATAAAACAACATCTAAATTTGATAATTAATTCTTTAAACCGATGTTATATACTTATATGTAAATATATAAATATTATTAACATAGAAAATTGATTTATTAATTGATTAATTACCATATAATGTCGATCTATTAGTTTTAATTAAGATAATACAAATTGATTTCTGATAATTTTTTTTTCTGATATCTCAAATTAAAAATATAAAATTACCATTTCAATTTTGTTTTTATGATTAACTGAATCTACAGTAGACAATAATCATTTGAATAGTTGATTTATTTTAGGAAACCACTACTAAATATATATAGTTCCAAATTTCCAAACCTGTTCCTGCAGACAAAGCACTAGATATGATAGCTGTTTGAGAAAGAAAATTGCCAACAGTAATCCATCTCACAGTTTCATCAGCTAGCTGAGTTGGTTCGATAATAATATACTTGTAGCCAGCCTCTAGGGCATTGTCCAGTTCCTGCTCAAACATTTCTTGCGAGTTATCATTGTCGTAGACTTCTCTTATTATAGCAGTATCTTCTTGGTTTATTATTCTACATACAGAACAAATACATCCAGAAATTTTTTTAATTATCATAATCAGAGTGTGACGTCCAAGTCATTTATTTATTTAGTGAGCCTATATAATCAAAAAAATTCAACTTATAACAACAATTCAAACTTACTCGTAGGATAACATTTTTCGTTGAACACTTGGTGCTCGTTGAAATGTCCCATTAACCGAGTTTAAGCTCGAGGTATACGAAACTCTATCATTTGTGTTATCCGAGAACTGCGTCAAAATCAAATGGATTATCTACCGATAACAACGTCTTGTACACTACATTTAATTTTAGTATTGTATACGCACTACGGTCGTCTTTTATCGGCGGGGACGTGTGTTTGTTGAACAATGTATCAAACAAAACATTCGCCTCGGTAGAAAAATATAGAAGAAAGACGGACCGTGAACGTTGCGGACGACATTGAAAAGAAATATTGCACGTTTGATAAGAGACAACTGACTGATATTGTGCGGACCGCGCGCAAGCACATGGAGGAAAAACTGACTACCGTTCGTGGAAAGTGTTATTCCATGAAGAAAACCAGGGATAAAAAAATAATCCCGGTAGGTATGCGGATACTTAAATCGGTAAAATATTATTACCTACTCGCCAAAGTTTGTCTGTTTTAATTGACTTGGTGGTGTATTTTTTTTTTCTCTTAATTTTTTACTTTTTCGAAATCATTTCGCCAGTCGAGTCTACATAATAATTAATAATTTTACATTCCATTAAAGTTATATATAGGTAGTGTGATATTCTACGCAAGAGTGTCGCACAATACCTTGTCTTCGACAAGACTACTCCGACAACATAATATACCTATATTGTATAATATATAATATTAAATAATATAAAAATGGACGCGATTACGATCAAATTAAAAAAAATGTTGCTGTCGCGAAATGTCGTCTTTCAAGTTGGTATATTGTATATTATTATTTAGATATAGGTACGCATAAAGTAAGTGGCGTATTTACGGGGGGGGTCCCCGGGTCTGGACCCCCCCCCCCAGAAAAAATATAATATAATATAATTATTACATCGTAACTCGTATGTGTTTTTTTTATATTATAAACTTGTAGGTACCTAATATTTAGACCCCCCCCAGAAAAAATTTCAAAATACGCCACTGCATAAAGTACTGATGTGCGGTGGGGAGGTTATAACCTTAGTTAGTATCTACAGGCTATAATATTTTGCGCTTTCATGATGGTGCATTACTTTTTAAAAATACGAATCTTCTTCTTTTTTGTCTTTACTTCCGACTATATTATGGGGTCAGCCATCCTTGTTCTATACCGTCATAAGACTCTGCACCCCCCTCTTAATTTCTCACAACAGCTATTTTCGTGTCATTCTCTATTTTGACTATGTCTATGGTCTATCTTCAATATAGCACTCCCTCTTTCTCCTTCTACATTAATTTCCATAGCCACTTTCACTGAGTCACCTCGAGGAGATCTCCAAACCTAATAATCTCAACCTCTTCTCCCTCGTTTTGACTACAATTGGGGCCAATCCTTACGATCACTAGATACTGAATTAATTTATTATTCTATCCTCCCTATAGTCTCTTCACATATCCACTTAAGCATTCTCATATTATGCTATCATAAACCTATATCATCGCCAAGTTGTTTTGCAACTAGAGTTAGGTCGGCCGTATGAAGTCTACCTATATGTCCTTTGAAAAATTATCCACGATGTACGACAAACCTCAAGTAAATCGATTCAATAGTTTCGATGATAACCCCGGGTCAAAAAAGACTCTTATAATACCTATATGTAAGTACCACTGACACGGATGGATTATATTGATGGTATTTGCAGTATATATCAATTATCAATTGAAATTTGCGAAGAATAATTGATTGTCTTGGTTGAATTCTAGACGGCGTTAATCAAATTTTCCATTACACTATTACCCTGAAGACAAAATTCAAAATTTTGTTTTACATTGAAATTGATTGCAAGTAAAATATTTGTAAAAATGTATCCATTGGTGCATCTATGAGGGGGGGGTGCTTTGGCTTTAGCGCCTACTAAAAAATGAAATGAAAAGTTGATAATTTATCAAATTACAATTATGACACAATAGCATTGTTTATAATATAACATTGTATCACACCTAGTATGATAATTGTTTTTAAAAATAATTTGGACTGTTCTGTGTGGGCCCGGAATTATGGTATTTGTTTTGTTTTAGTGGTTGTTTTTACTTGTTCACATATAGGCAAAAAATGGTGGATATATTATATGAATGTGAATTAATTTGCATAATACTAATTATACAAAAAATATGGAGTTGGGTCTCACCCTTGGCTGGGGGGTATATTGGGCTTATAGCGTTTGCAGGTGTTTGACATTTGATATATTGCCGTATTGGTATTTGGTTTGATTATTGGTTTTTAAAAAACCCATGTTATATGATAAATACTTATTATAGGACCAATACATTAGTATATTTTAGAGAATTATTAGATACATCAGTCATCAATTATTATATAGAGTGGCGGAGTGATGAAATGTTCACGCATTTGGGCTGGAAAATAACAAATCAGTGCCAATATAATTTTAAATATTACATTTTCTAAAGAAATGTACCTAAGTAATATCACAATTATAATTCAGGTTTTTTTTATAACCACAGGATAAATGTATTCAGTTTATGATTCGAAGTTTAAAAGATCCAAAAAAGTTCAATTTAGTCAGTAAGACATATTTGAATGCTGATATGATACAATTTTTGTGTGAACCTTTACTTTCAATTAATACTCCGTTAATACAGTAAACAATTTAATTTAACATCTATTTTGCTATATAATAATGTACATTTTTCAATATATAGTACCTATTATTATTAGTTGTATACAATTAATAATTTAGAACAATTATTATATTTTAGAAGTATATGTTTATGCATATGGATGCTATCAAAAAATAATATATTTTACGAAAGAAATGATGTGTTATACACTTGTAATAGTTTATTGCGAACACTTGTATTTTTAATAAGAACTAGCGATGCTTCAGTATCTGATTTAATTCAACTATTGGAAATAATTATTAAAAAGTACCTATTCAATATTTTTATAACTACATTATTAAATTAAACATAATATAAATATATAATATTTATAACACTATACTACTGAGTATTATTGTACTTGATTTTAGGGGTGGAACAAACCTTCAAGAAATCTGCAATATACCACAAGTTTTAACCATTATAAAAATGGTTTTTACTAATTCACAAAATTTACCAGCACGTTGTGTTATGAATGCTATTTCTATACTAACGTATTTTTTGTCGTGTCCTTCAATTGAATTAAGTAATAAATTATACAACACTAGTATGTCTATTTCAAAGGCAGTTTGTAAAACTGTCACAGGAAAATGTATCATTGACCCTCATGTAGTTGACATTGCATCAAATATGTCTAGTAGTTTATTAAGGTATCTATACTTACAATTTATTTTGAATTAATCAGTGGTGTAAACTAGGGTGACATGATGGTTAATGGTTATAAGTATAACTTATAATGATGCCACGAATCCCAAAATATTATTGTCTATAGCCATATTATACTCATACATACATTATAATTTCGTATATATAGGAAATGTAGGTAGGTACTTGGTAGTTGGTATTAGCTATTAGCTGGTGTGTTACAAGATATCTATTAGACAAGTAGGTATAGGTGCCTACTGACGAATAACAACCGAACGGAAAGGGGATCACTACCTATGGAGGATAATATATAGAGTGATTCACCAAGCACGCTCACCACCATTTTTTTTCAATTATACGTGAGCTTCCTGAATTTTTAAATTTTTAAGTAGGTATACTTAAAGTCTAAAGACCATATTTTCAATTACTTAAAATTTGTTACGCCATTTAGGTGTGACGTACTTGGTGAATCATCCTGTATGTTACTACATATTATTCATCATTTAATCTACAGTAACGTCCCTGATTTTAATAGTTATTGCTTTGTCGATACATATAGATTAGGTGTATATAAATAATAAACATATAGTTGTGATCGCCATTAATGATGTATACATATTCTGATTAAATAGACTTTATTCTACCATAACAAAGAGAGTGTTAATTAATAAAAATTTAAAAAAACATACAGAAATAGCCAAATTATTGAAAAATGTGGCTTGGTTTATGATTAAACACATTACCTTACCATTTGTTCTAGTAAGTAACTTTTATTTATTATTTGTAAAATCAATACCTACGCTAATGTATAGATAGTATACCTATATACCTAGGTACTATAACATTATTTCAATAAAATTAATTGTTTAATATTAATTGATATCTATTTAGAAAAGTTTGAATATAAATATATATCATAAAAGTTATCAAAAAGGAATCAAAAGTTTAATAAGTCCGTTCAGGGAAAGTTTATCTACTCCTGCCCGTCAAAATATAGCTAGTCATTATGCAGCGTCAAGACTTATGATTATTTTATATGAATTAATTGAGTATAAGTAATTGATTATTTATTATTATTATTTTTATCTATATATTAACATACATAAATAATTAAAATTTAGTGTACATATTACTAGAAAAAAACAAATAGTTTTAATATTGAACATGGTTAAGTGGTTATAATAGTATTCAATGTTTGCTCGTAATAACTGTTTAAACATGTAATATTTGTTTGTACCTACTACCTATCCTGTATTCCTGTTTTATATTAATTGTTTATTATTTCTTTAGTAAAACTGGTATTTTAGCCGAAGAGTTGTTGTTTGAAATGTTGTATTATTTATCATCAGCTTATCTTGAAATAAATTGTTATTGGCCTGGTGGTATTGATATGTTTCGCAATCAAATGGCTTGGAGCTTCAAGAATTTTCCTAAAACTCCAAAAGATCTGTGTTTTGCTCTGACAAATAGTACAAATACAGATATGAGACATTCTATAATCATTTTTATATATTTCTATCTTTTAACTTGTTCCAAGTAAGTTTTTTTGTTGGTATATAATATAATATTATAATTTATAACCAGCATACCTACCTATTTTAAAACAAGACACATTTTTACGATCTTAAAAATGTTACTGTGAATATTTCCGTAACTGTAACGTGAAAAAAATTCCATGCATAATTATTTCCAGGCTATAAATATTTGTAGCCCTTAGGAGTTGATGGAACTCTATTTTGGCCAGAAATTGTTAAATAAATATTTACCATTTTTAGTGATTTTTATAAACAGTAATATGTTTTTTTTTCAAGTAATGAGCTAGTCCCAGAAAGAATGCATTTATTAGCATTGTATGTATTTTATAGAAAGCAAAAATTCACACATCAGATGTACAGATATTTCTAAAACATTAAACACGATTATAGCAACTTATGCTGTCTATACCGCTATACTGGCCTCCAACTAAAACCCTGTTCAAGCCTCAATTATCGATCTCCAAAACACCTCATCTTAATAAACACTTGGTCAACTATAGGTAAAGAAACCTAAAAAATCATTCCATTAACCATTTACACGTCGAAAGATAACATGAGTTGAGATATGGACACTTACTATGTCTCAGGTCAAAAATGTGGGAATTATACCAACTTGGAGTCCTCACCTTAAGTCCAAACTCTAAATATTCGATATAACTGCCTTCATCTGTTTCCTCCTATATTAAGAATCGAACTATGACTTCCCAGTTCACACGAAATCGTCACTATTCAAATTTGTACTGATGTCCATTTGGGTGTATACGGTATGCAAATCTTGGGGTGCGTCAAACCATCCCAACCTTGCAGACTGCAGGCTGCAGCATCCATGCCTCCCAGTCCATTACTCTTCACCTTATAGCCCAGCCACCTGGCATGCGACCAATGATTTTTAACATAAATATTTAAAAATTTAAACCAAATCCAAAAGTCACTACAATATAGGTTTTACACTTTCTCTCAAAAGTCCAACACCATCCAAAGTTCCAAATCCTTTAACCCCTTATATCTCATAACTCATTCTTCCCAATAACCCTCCAGATCACCTAAAAAGCGTAGATGCTGTGATCTCTAAAATCAGTACGTTTATAGTAGTATAATTAAATACACAAACTCTGTCCTGAATGGCTTTTCTTGTCATGTGTTCTTTCTATGTTATTTATATTATTATATATCGTAACTTTCAATATTATATTATTATAGCCAAATAACAAATATAAGTATTAGCCATTAGGTAGGCAACACAATTGTAAGTTTAAGGTTTAAAATATTTGTCATGATAACAAAGAGGCACATACAAATTAAAACGTTTTTATATTTTCTTCAATGTTAAAATTATTAGATATGTAATATAATATATAGCCATATAGGTGTATAATATAATTATTAACTACCTATTAACAAATCTGTATATTGATTTTAGCATTGAAAATGAGTCAATATACTTAGAACCAATGTGCGATTACTTATGCACAATACAGAATGAAGTTCCTGTTCCTGTTATTAAAGCAATTCTTTTTAATATTTCTGTAAACATTAAATTAGTAATTTGTCATTCTACACCTTATTAAATTTTGCGTTTATTTTTAGATTTGTTTTGTATCCCATCATGCAGTAAATGCAATATCTGGTTTAGCTTTTGCAACGGAAAAATTAGTTGGACTTATAAACTCAATGCAAATTATTGATTTGGTATTTACCCATCATCCTGCATTGTTATATTTTATGTTCGCTACGAGTGTTATTCCCCAAAAACTACAATTAAAATTAGTGAGCATGATAAGTTTTTTTTTTCTAAAGATTTTTTTTGTTCAATTTATTTCATTTCTATTAGATTAAGCAATGGGTCCAAAATTTAGATGAAGTTAGTTTGATTGAACTAGAAAAATGTTGCTTCAACAACCACAAAGCCAAGTTATGTTTGATGGTAAATTGAAAAACAATATCCAATACGTTATACAAAATTGTAAATGATACAAGTGATTAATTATTCTAACTTTTATTTTCACTTTCATTACCTATAGGATGTTCTTATTAACGATACAAATATCGACACTAATAAACTACAGAAAGGATTCAATATTATTAAGAAAATAATAACCGCAGAAAACGAATGTAATGAACATAAAACTTTATTAATTATTTGGGACATGTTACCCATACATTTAGGTTCATTCTGTTGTACTAAAAATCCAAAAAGAATAGGAGGTACTGAATAACAACATATTATTATTTTATTTTATTTGTTTTAATTGAATTTTTATTAATACTGCAGAGACAAATTTAACGTTTTTATTGAATTTAACTGAACCATGTTCTCTCCTTGGGACAAATATTTCCATTAACGAACATCGTAGTATAGTTTATACAATGTCTTCAATCATAAAAAGCCATCAATCTACTTTCACTGAACAGTATTCACTGTTATCATCTCTTCTTCAGCATTTCTTAACCCTGATTCAGTTATCCAACAGTGATGGTAAGTAATTAATTATAATACCGATAATAACTTATATGCGGCTATATATACCTAATTATAAATAATATCCGTCAAAACTATATTTCAGTTTTAAATACAATTAAGAAGAATAAGGATTTTCTATATGTTCTTGAGAGCTTGTGCCTCTCAAAAAATAACAATATTTGTTTTCTTTCAATCAATACTTTAGTACAATTATGCCACCTTGAACAAGAAGAAACTAATATGAAACATAAACTTCTAGTATGATTTATTATATTTTTCTACATGCTAGGTACACTTAAATTATCAAATATACATATCATAATAATTAATTTATATTTGCTCAATAGTATTCGATAACGTTAAAATGTGAATATGTTTTAAACGCCATGACCAGGCTATGTCAAAACTGCATAATATCATCTATTACATTATTTAAAATTATTTTACAATACTTCGAAGAAGGCATTTGTAAATCGGTTGAGTTTAATGAAGCACCAACTGCCGATTTTTTAAGATCTATTTTTATGCAATTAGAAACCATTATATCTCAAGTAAGAATTTAAATAAAACTCTGTATTTCAAGTTCTTTAAATATTTAGATACTAACATTAAATAATACTTATAGGGATTGGATTGTGTGTCAAACCATGCCTGGGAATGCATGACTATAATATTGTCATCAAAACTTTTGAAACATTTCCAGGAATTATCATATCTAAAAATTGAGTTTGCCACCGATCCTTGGCTTAATTTTATACTTGTAAATTCAAAATCCTTTGATGAAAGATGCTTAGAATTTTTAAATGTTTGGTTTACACATTTTGTATTAAGTAAGTACTAAAAAAATATGTAAAAAATAACTTGGAGAAAAAATTAATAGTAGGCAGTAAGTAAAACAAAATGTGAATCGTAGTTTAAAATATACACAGATGTAAAATAATAAAATAAATTATAAGTATTTTTTACTGGAATTTAACAATAAAAGTTTAGCCTAAACTGTACATAGCCACAGACATTTTTTATGAGGGTTTGAAGTTCAAATTTTAACGACGTTAGATATTCAAACGTATATTAACTATTTATCCTCAAACCATATTTGTGATTTTATTATTTTTAAATTATCATTTTGTTTACACAATGAAATTTTAAAAATATTTCGAGAAATTTTAAGGTATTGATTGCCAATTGAAAATTAAAATTTTTTTTTGGTTTGTTACAAATGTTGGTACATATTTTTATATTCTGTCAAAAATAAATACTTAAATAATATGTGCAATGCAAGAGTCAAGATTCCTCATAAATTGTACTTAAAATATACTTTTTGTTAACATTTTGATAAAATTAGATATCTATATTTAAACGACAACTAATAACGATTTTATAAAAAAAATAGAATTAAGGATTTGATGTAATTTAAAATACATTAATCGAAGAATCTTAAATCTATGTATTATTATGTATTTACGTATATTATTATTTTGAATGCATAAATGTACACAGATATTTTCAAAATATTAAGGCTAATTATAAGCTATTTTGACCTTTTCATGCCGTTCTGTATCGAGTTGGGCATGTATGTTAATAACAATTATCTGTCAATTTAGGTATGATATAAACATTATGTTATATTTAATATTATAATAATAGATAATATTTTAATATATGCTATTTTTTTGCCAAAAATAAGTTCACATACCGTAGGTACCACTAATAAAAAATAAATTACTAATAGTACTTAATATAAATTAATTATAAAATAATCACACTCTGTCAAATTTACAAATTTACACAATCTCCGATCAGAATAATTTTTTGTATTTAATGATATATCATTTATGATAATTGAATAACAATTATATGTAAATTAATTATTATATATTCAATTAAATTCAAATTTAACACTACAGCTACAGCTATAGTGAACTACCTCAATGACGAGGTATGGCCGTATGGGTAATCGAAATACCTACTATACAGCTTGCAGTCAACAGAGTGATTTCACAAGTTTTTTTTTTTAACATCTCCTTTATAATAATATTGCATTGTAACATTGTACACCATTATAATTACTATAATATGATATTATGATGTGTTTAGATGACGAAGAAAGTTTCACAATACGTGGATTAAAAGTGTTATGTCCAAGTCTCTTTAATAATACTGTAGTTCATATTTCAGTAACAATAGTCAACCAAGTTTATGAAAGAAGTGAATTAATGTCAAAAGCTAAGTTTATTATACATTTGGTTAGTATTCATAATTCATATATACACTATACGTATACACTTATCTCATATGTTGTCCATCATTCATCAACTCTTATTTTTTGTGGGTTACAGATATTGAAAAACAAATTCTTGTTACCAAATGGACTAGAATGTAAAATGAACATTTTTTTAAACCAAAACTAGTCGAAAGCTATACCTAAATATTCTAAATATTTTTTTTGAAACTGTTTGTATACCTATATTTTGTTTAAATGTATATATTATTATACGTATTAAGTATATAATTATAAATTTTAATTTGTAAAAATAATTTGTAGAAAATGCTCTTCTGCATTCAATTAGTAATTACTAAAATTAATAAAGCCAAAATAGCTACAGAAATAGCTTTTTTTATTAGATCAACATACATACATTTTTCGTATACAATATAATATGATTTGTCATTAAATTCAAATTTAACACATTAATTTTACTTGACACTTATTTTAGTCAAACGACTTCCTCAGGTTTTTAATGTTCTTGAAGTTTTAACCCCCACTTTGAGCTTAACTTAGCCCTCTCATAATTTATTTGTAGTATCCGTATCACCCTAGGTAAACCATCAACCTTGGTGAATGGTGGTATCATTTACATTAAGTTAGGTACCTATAATATTTTATATTAAGTATTATAATCTTAATTCTAATATTCTAATAATATTTTTTCTCAAATAATTACTTATCAATGTACTGCTAAATAACTTAGTTAAAATAGTAGTAGATAAGTATAATAATAAATGTAATACATATAAAATAGGTTAGGTTTGTCTTTTTACTTTTATAGCTTTTTGGCAATGGTGGACAAGTTAATGAAAATAAAATTAACTGTGGCAAGTTAAGTTAATTCAATTAAATTGCCTTCACTTAAGTTAAAAGTTAACAAAGAAAAAAAATTTAAGTAGATAAGTTTAAAGTTAAAATAGAAAATAAAATAAACTTATCTCAGTTACAAAAAGTTAATTTTTTTGAAGGTACAATATTTACAATATTTACAATATTTATATTTATAGTCATAAACTATCATAGTATTTTGTTATACACAAACATCTACCAGGACATTAATTAACACTGTGTAAAAAATTAGATTATTATAATATATAATTCGAAAATAAATTACCAAAATAGTAAAAAAGTCGACGAATCAGTATTGCCTAGTTGATTACGCATGACTCGAAAATAAAATTAACTTAACTGCCCGACAATGATAATTAACTATAAAAAGTTAAGTTACAACAATAAAAACTTTAACAGAATAAGTTAATAAGTTAAAAACAAAAATAATTAACTAGTTAAGTTAAAAAGTAAAAAAAAAATTAACTTTTTAACTTAACTTTAACTTTTTAACAATTGCTTTTTAAACTTTTTAACCTTTGCTTTTTGGTAAATATATTAGTTGAAGGTAAAACGGAATACATTTAAATTCGATTTTTGTTAGTTTTATAAATTTGTTAAGAAACTTCAAAATTTAATACAAGGGTCTATATACCTTAAAATAAATTTGACCGGAAAGTCAAATTCATTTTTTATTTTAGATTCTGAACGGAGAGATAAATGTATTGATTTTACAATAATTTTACAATGTTTTCATTATAATTTATTATTTTTTTTTTTTAGTGTCTAATATGTAGATGATAAGTAGTTAAAATATCTATAGTTGGTGCATTTGGGAGGTCAAAGTTTAAAATTCTCAATAAGTTCCATAAGAGCAAGGAAAAACAAAAAAAAATTAAGGAAAAACGGCAATTTTTACGACAAAATTGATTTTGATTTTTAGTCTAACTAAAAAAAAAAAAAATGACTAGATACTTAAAATTTTCACTGAATGTTTATTTTCAACATTTCATATGACTATATGAGTATGAGATGACATACGGAATTCAGCTATAGGGTACGGCCAAAACATAAAATATGAAAAATTCCAATCATTCCAGTCAATTTGCCTTCGGCTCATTACAAAAGCCCCCTAACTGGTACGTGAGCAATCTCTCCCTCCACTCTGACCTCAACCATTCATTAACTATAGCCTCCCACTATTATAAACCATTTCACAAAAACAGATTCAACCACTTAAGTCACCTAATTTCAAATCTCTCCTCTCTTACACTTCCGGTTAACCCACCACTCCATCTTAAACAAAATTGCCACAGGGACCTCCTCAACATTAAAAAAAAATTAAATAAAACAATACAATACATTTTTTTTTTAAATCCGCCTAAAATTATGAAGTAGGGTCATTGGACCCCCCTCTTTTCTATCATGCCGTCCACTCGCCCGTTTTGTATACTTGTACCTCCCATATAACCTATATTGTATACATTTTATTGCAGATTGTATATTATATATTCTAAAAAAAAAAATATGAGTGAACTGAAGTTCAATTTTTTAAACACTCGGTATTCACTCGATTTCTCGCATAGAGCAATTTTCTTATTTTGTATTGCGTAATAAAAAAACGAATAACCGTAGTACTTGAAATTTACACCATATATTTGTTTTATCATTATACTTAATAAAATTAGGTAGGTACGTAACTTCACGAACCTGGGTTTTTCTATATTAATTTCTTCAGCAAATAACTATCATAGCTTTTTTGTCAAAAGTTATATTTTGTCACAAATCTATGGTGTGATGTAGATTTGGCCACATGTAGTTCAGTGTGCTGAATAAAATGCCAAATTTGTATCGGTATTAATTGAACAGTATACCTATACTTACCCATACCTACCTATATATTAATGGTATATTGGTATGTGTATAAAATTGTTTAACATTTTATATAATATATAATAGGTACATAGAAATTTAATTCGAAGTCCTACTTCTTCTTTAAGTAAGCGCTCGCAAGCCATTCAAATATAGTATAGGTATTACCTACATAGAAAGCAATTATTACTCAATACAATGTATTATTCGTTTATACCATGCGGTTGCTTTGAGTTGGACAGAGAAAAAATATAAGAATTAGCATCCAGCTGAGAATTGAGGAAAAGTAACGGTTCATCTGTTTGTATTATTATATAGCTGTATGTTTGAGAATTGCAAAGAATGCGCCATAATAAATAATAAATATATACCGGAATCTCATAACGGCTGTAAACGCGCCATCACACAGACGCACACGCGTGCGCTTATATTATGTATTATTTTTTTTGTGCGCGAGTGTAAGCGTTATAGAGGTCTGACGTCTGAAAAATCGCAGCGGTGGTAGACTACAAGGTCGGCAAGCTACCATAATTGGAAAGTAATACTGGCACCAAAACTACACCAAAGCATCCCATGTGTTCGGTGAGGGCTTAGAGTCGGATACTATGTGTACGCGCTTCCACAGAGGTCTAATAACCTAATTATGCATATCATAATATTATTGTGTATTGCGCTCGGCGCACCCACGTGAACGAGTTTCACTTGCACATCACGGAGATGGCACTCGCGTAGTCGCGTGTAATTTATACGGCAATATAACACGATGGAAAGTGTTTTTAAAGGCTTTATATTAAAACCAACGGTGGGCAGACGAGAGTCGAGTGTCATCTTTATATTATATTATTATAAAAAATGCGGGCAAGCATAGGTAACCACTCTGCTAGGTAGGTAGGGGCGGATTAGCCTATCGGGAAATCGGGAATCTTCCCGATGGGCCGGTTCTTGTGAGGACCGGCAGGACCGCTATAATTTTTATAATATAAATATAATATAGTTACAAAAAAAAAATTATATTTTTATAAATTTAACATAAAATATATTAAAAAATCAAATAACTACGAAAGTATTATTTTTAATATCTTTAACTATTGCAATTCATAGTAGGAATTTGGTATTTACACTATTTTCCCTCCAATTCATGCTAATGTATTATTTAGAAATCTGTGGTATTGCCGTATTGGTATTTTAGTATTTATATTTTATACTCTATGGTAGAATTCAGTTAGTTGCGTGATAACATTGATAACCTTATCTTATCATTATTTGTATAATTGTATGTATTTTGATTTTGAACTTTTGGTGGTGTTGAAAAGGTACTAGAAAAAAAGAAAAAACTGTTAATGGAACCTATCTTGTTTTAAATTTTCAATCCTTAGCTATACAAGTTGAATATTTTATACATTTTTAACAACAAAATAATTATTAAATCTTGATAAATCTTGTCAAAATTCGATCTTTAAATGCTTATAAAAAAAATGTGTGGCTATGTATTTTTAATATTTTTAAATTGCTATTGTAACAATATATCAGAAGCCTTGTATTAAATTTTCAAGGATTTGGCCCAACAAATAAAATTTTAATGGTATTTATAGAATAAAAAAACTAAAAAAATTAATATTTGAAATGGTCCGTAAAAAGATCAAAAAGAGTCAAATTATTTTCAAAATTGTATGGTGTATACAAAATGCTAAGATAAATATTCAGTGAAATTTTCAAGTATCTACATTCTACAGCCATTCGTTTTTTAATTCCAACAAAATAAGAAAATCGTTACATGAGAGTGAGTCGAATGAATAACAAATGTTATAAAAATATGAATTTCGAAAGGTCATAAAAATTTAATTTGAGTTTCTTGTTGACATTTTTTTTTGATAAATTTAGACAAACTTATGAGGAATCTTGTATTAAAAATGTGTTATAAAATTTTTTTATGAATTTATAACTCAAAATAATTTGCAAACTTTTGTCATTTTTACGTGTTTTGTCAATATTTGAACTTTAAATGATTATAAAAAAAAATTGTGTCTTGATTTTAATTTTTTCATCTGCCTTTGAAATAATATACTAGGAGCCTTATTCTATTACATTTTCAAGCTTTTTAACCAACAAATAAAATTGTATTGATATTTACAGAAAAAAAACTGAAAATGTCCGTAAACAGTTCAAAGTAATTCAAAATGTTATGGTGTATAGAAAATACTAATATTGGAGATTGAAAGTGATAATATGAAACGGGGACGCTGCGTATCATTTACACGTTATTTTACATGTTCCCCGTTACAGATCCACCCCCCACCAGCCTGATAATTGATAAGCTTTCAATCGACAATAAACATTCAGTCGAAATTTCGTGTACCTACGGTTATATTTGTTTTAGAGTTGCAACAAAAACCAAAATTGATTTTCTCGAAAAC